CACACTCCTACGACGGCGCAGCTAGATCCCAAACCGAGACAGTAGTTATCCGCTCTCCCATGACTATTGCCTCGACATATTCATAATAAATATTTTTATAACTTTCAGTTTAAATTAGTCTCGTTTTACTATTTTGGTTTTCTTTTTAAAAAACATAAGGTGCAATTTTTTCTCCTTGAGCTTTTTTTAAAATACTTCTAATAGTGCTATAATTCTTGGGTTCCATAGTGGATTTAATGTAAATTAGTTTCATATTAATATTTTTATATATAAAGGTAATCCTATATTAATCACATTATGGTTTATATTCACCACCTTCTGGTATGTAAAGTGAAAATTAAAAAAATGTCATCAGCTGCACTGGTCAATCTTACAGCCACATCATAATCAGCCTCTCATTTATAAAATGTTCACTTTGTTGCAGTCTGCCCCATATGTATTATTGCAACAACAATCTAAGCATTATTAATTCACCCACAGTAGGTATAGACCATATTTATCATTGCTCAATATTTATTATGAAAAAACTCCATTGCTTTTGTAAATTTCGTATTCTCGTTGGATATTGCTTATGCATTTTCCTTAAAATGTAACTCTTCCAGGCTTAATATTCGATTCGGAACTAGCCTACACCGTTTGCATTGCGTTATATACTTCCTTGACGGGTTAGTATAGCATTTTGCATCACAAAACTGTCTTCAAGAAACAGATACTGCTCCTTTTTTTAGGATTTAGAAATCGTTGACCGGTCAAATTTTAACATAGGATATCTTTTAGAAATTTCTTGGTGTTTGAAGGGTTTGTTTTTCTTTTAGAATATTTTTGCGCTGAGTATGAGCATTATTGACACGACAGCGTGTTTTTTTAGTTGAAGGAGGCATTGCAAATAATACCACTGGCTAGTCAAGCCAACCGACGATGGTTGTAACAATTAAAATATGTAATTTTTGTAACAAGAGATTTAAAAAAGTTAGGAATGCTTAACTTTGTTCCGAAGATTGTAAAAAAGCTAAAAGTTCAAAAACTCTTAGAGAACTATTCCATACATATAGTCATGTGATTTTGTGACAAATATATCAAGAGTGACTACTGTATATCGAGGTGCGACTGTATTTAGTAATTTGCGGTCATTACGAAAGTGTTGATCTTAATTATCGGGCAAGTGCGATGGTAGTTTTGAGCAAAACGACAGTATTGCGTGGTTATATTGTTGAAGTTGTGAAAACATCAAGTAAGCGGGATTGAACAAAACTTAGCGTTACGACAACGGAAAAGGTTTTCAATATTTGGATTAATTCCGTGTTGGAGATTTTTTTTTAAAAATTGAGTGGTTTGCAAAAATATCAACATCTTCTATTTGAAGCAGTTAATCCTGAATTGTCAAAGCTTAAATGGTTGCTAATGGTAAGCATACAGTATGAAACCAGGAAATAGAAAGCAAATTTTGTAATTCACTAAATCGACCACCAATTAATTTATTTCGGGCAACTTCCACTTCCTGTAAAAAATTCGTCAGACTAACCAATTCACCTTAATATTGACCCCTTCTCCTTTGGATTTCAAAAGGCAGGAGTAGTATTATATTGCTGTTGCTTTGCCAGTTGGTTTCTGGTTTGTGCTGAAATGAGTATAATATTAAAGATAGTTTTAAAGTTTAACGTTTTTTGATCAGTTGTTGCACAGTTAATAAAATATTATCCGAAACCTTCTTCGCGCATTGTATTATTTCTGGGAAATTTTTTCATCCGTGAAGAATGAATAAACAATATAATGGTTACTATTGGTGGCAAAGAAGTGAGTTGAATAAGAATAAGGACTCGGACGTGAGGATAATATTAAGTAAGCCACCTTGGAAAATTACATGTGGTCACATTAATTAACGATATTAATATTAAAATCAATAGAGTCATTGCTCAATCGAGCGAATAAGTAAATCCAAGTCATTTAGTAAATGTACATAGAGAAGCAGAACAATATTGTGACAATTGTTGGGATGTGTGTTCTAAAATACGCTTGGAAGGAGTAAATTCTATGCGTTTAAGCCTTAAAAATATAACGTAATAAATCTATGATAATGTCACCGGAGAGTTCACGTGTTGGTGCATGTAAGCCTTCATGTAAAAGACGCTAGTGTTCGTGTAATATGCACAAAAGAAAGTATGTAAATATTCTCGAGGTTGTTGGAAATTTTTATTTTTAAATTTACTTACTCTCTCTCCTCTTAGAATCCTGCGTTTCACTAAACAATCCAATACCGGGAATAATCTTCAACTCTGTCGTCCAACCGTTTGTCGATTTTGCATGCATACGATCCTCACGAGCGGCCGCGGCGGATTGGAATGGTTTGGTTATGGTGTTCCGTTCAAACGAGGTGTCTTTATTAAGATTAGAGTATTTCTTAATCATTTCTATTTCTTCGAGCAGCGTGTTGAAGCGATAGGTAATCCGACTATTAGGAACGTTAGTCTTGCTCACGTCTAATCCATGACGAAAGATAGTCAAGTTAACGAATCGTCAAGGAATATGCTCTAGTAATTGCTCGTTCCGACAATGAATCGAAATTGACATACCGTTTCCCATGGGTGTAGGCAAAAACCAGTTTGCGCCTAGCCAGTACTTTTTAACGGACATCTCCCATCCACTTTGAATCACCGAATTGCGTGCGAGCTCACACATATCGACAGCGGATAATTTCCATATCTGCAAGATAACGACGAAAAGTTTAATCACCGAACGACCAGCGTCTAGTAATGAACTGACTTTATTCCAACTTACCTGCGCAGCGACACTATACTCTTCAATCAACGGTTCTTTAGTGTAATGAAATTGTAATGGATCGTCGGTACTCAGACTGATATTTAGTCCTTTTTGGAAAAAGTTCAAAAATGGATTCCGCTCATAGTTCAAGAATAAAGCATTGTTGGATAAGGGAGACATTGCAATGCCAATCTGCTTGATGTAGTAAAGGTATTGCAAACCAGGTACTTTACGAAGGAGAATGCCATGAGAGATGGATTGAGAGGTAAGGAAAGCTGATGTCAAATGATCAGTATCGCCTGCTTCTCCCGCATGAGGACGAAGAACAAATGTATCTTTGAGAACACCGTTAAACGACGTTAGTTCTGTCACGTACACTTGTCATAAATTCAAATTGTTTCCGGCATTCGCTTGTGAATACTTACTAAATCCTCTTTTCCTTCGCCAATTATTGAGACTAACCAGGTTTGAATACATATAGTACAGATAATACGAATAGGGAGGATTCAAATTTGTGTTCCAATCTTTAGGGTATGGGTATTTCCTATGAATGCGCCGCTCGGCCTTAGACTCGTCGTCGACGCTGTCAAAACCGACAACTCGTTGTAGAAACACGTGGAGCTCAGGGTGCGTGCTTGGATCTTTCGTTACCTCGTATAATGGTTCGTAGATGTCTATATCATAATAAATATAGAAACATGGTTAAACTATGAACAATCATCGGATGTTCCTACAAACGAATAAATTTAAAAAAAAAAACAGATATCGATCGTCCATAACATACTCCTAATGACATCTTCGAAATTCTCGACTGTCCGGTTGTTCTTGTAGATATTATACAAACGAGGCGTCTGAATTAACCAGCGAACATTGTGCGAAAATATCTTGTTCTTTACAACCCATTTGGCAAGCTTATCCCATTCTGACTTTTTCCTAAAGAGTCGCGTTTAAGATTAGTTGTCGAAAATGAAAGTTGCTCCTAATATGCTATATCGCCCAATCACCAGTTCATACCGTCCGTATATCGACACTCGATATTCTGCCATTTGATACTTGCTCGATTCCAAGTCGGAAATGACCTCTATCATTGAAAGTGTTTGACAGTATAAGCGTCGAGTAGTTTACAACCTCACTCTTTTGTTAGTCGCTCGCACACACTACACAATATCACCTTTGGTTAATTCCGCCAAGTATCGGCCTTCGATATAATTATCTGTCTTTAGGAAAATCTCTCTTAATCGAGATTCACCAATTGGATTATACTTTAGATTGAATTTGTCAAATCTATGAAAAGAGTCGGTGTGTGCCTAAGATAAAGACAAAAGCTATTAGCACACTTAAACAGTAGTTTGTATACATCTCTCACAAACTAAAAAAGAATAAAACAACGTACGTGTACGTCTAGCGTATCGATACTCAAATCATATGCGCGCAGATGTAAACTGTCAAACACTTCCGTCAACGTAAGCAACTTGTCATCCCTAACAATAACTTCATCCTGCCAAATGCCAAGTATGAGATCAAAGTTATATTCGTATGAAACGTAAAAACAATTGGATGAAATAGTGAATAATCACCTTGGGATACTTCTTTAATTTGGATTTGATAAAACGCAGAAGGTGTTTGGAGTTCATACACGAGGACAAGTGCACGTGTGTGTCGACTTTCCGTACATTATAAAAGTCTCTATGTGGAACTACCTGTGAATCGGGCGAAGTTAAGTAAATTAATTATAGATACAAACTTGAGATTTGAAATGT